TCTACCGAAAGTATTGTCGACGCCACCATGGCACGTGAAATTGCAACCAGTGAAAAGGCTTCTATTTTGTCAGGTGGTCTAATTAACTTTCAAGAGTACATGTTTACATTCGTAGTCTACGTTTTTACCCCAATTAGTGGTTGCCAGTCGCGAAGGCAGAACAAACTTGACTTGAAATTTCTACTCCTGGTCACTGAACTTTACCTGAAAAGGACTCACGTGTGTTTTTGAATAAATCCACTTGGCGGGTTGTCGTCCTAGGTGAATAAACTACATCCGTATGTGTCACGTCAGGCGACGTTGGAGTTTGTCTTTTTTATTTATACACCAAGGCTGTTTACACAGAAAACCTAATGAGAAAAGCGCTCAGGTCGGTTGATCAAGCTTGAGATGTAGAGTGTATATAATAAGAGAAAACCGTCTTACACTGACCAGGCCTCGAAAAACGCCCAAGCTTAGGAAGTCTGAAAACGTGTCCATATGCGTTTAAAATATCTGCACATTCCTAAAACTGCCCAAACTCTTTGTTATAGTGCTTCAGTAAAAAAATAAGTGCATGTGATTAGGTATCTTTTTGTCATTTACGAAAGGGCCAATGTTTTGAAACTGGACTGCGGTAAAATCCTCCGCAGTATTCCAAATCAGGAAGCAAGACCAGCTCTGGCTTTCCATCGTGGGCTTTGTAACATATATATGTCTTCATGCTCTGCTGTTCGAATAGAGAGTCCAAATGAAAAGCTGATATGAACATTTTTTTTGTTAGAGAAAGGATTGAATTTTGCAGTAATGTTGAATCAGGAGTAAACACGAATCAAGAAAATGACTGGTCTGTAATGACCACAGATGAAAGCTGTTGCCCGTGAAGTGGAGTGCTACGGAGCAGTCATATTGCTTAAACAGGGAGCCAAACAACTCAGCCAAGTAGAAGTCAAAATTGGCTTGCCTGTCTGAATACGGAAAGCCATAAATTAGGACTTACATTGTTTCAGCTTGTTGAGATGCACTCAGGCTTAATTTCAGTCGTTCAACTTCATTGTACAGACGCGCCTTCTCCTCCATGAGTGCGGTAATTGTGGATCTTGGAGTTGAGAGACGAGAATGTTGGGTTTTAATTGCTCGATAATTTCATCAAATGTGTCGAACAGTTGTTGCTGCCATGGGACTGCCTAAATAAAAAGCTTTGAGGATGAACATGGGGTGTGCTAACTGAGATTAAGTAAACCGTACCTACCACTTTCATCAAGTGAAATGCGAGAATTGAGTTCGACTCCTGTGTTACTGTGCTACCATGGATGTGACTGTAGGCAGATGGATAATCAGACAATAGCTAAATGAATGTTTGATGAAAATTCCGCCCTGTTAGTGAAGCCAGTCTATGCTGAAAAGCTGAGGAGCACTTTACGGCTGTTTCATCTTTGTTTGGTATCATCAGCATTGCACGTTTCATGAAACTCCAGATAATCTTGAAACTTCCACCACCTGGCTACCAGTTTTATTGCATGACCCCGCGACCTCGAGCGGCTGGTCAGCAGTGTTTAGACTGCATTTAGCATAGCGCTACTCCTCTCTCAATCACAGGATCCACATCGCGTGGGAGTTCTCCAAGTGACAGCATCTCTTGGAATCTCCAATAACTATTCTCAAATCTCCCCATACTACCATCGTTCTATGAGTGGCTCAGAGGAAAAATAAAATTCATCCAATGAGTAGAACCTCCACTCAGGAAATCTCCCCTCAAGGAGCCGGTCGACATGTGGCCGTGTAATGCGGATTCTTTGATTGAAAGATGGTTGGTCCTGTCTATGTGCGAGTAGTCATATCGTCCATCAGTCGCTCGTCACCGAACGCTTCATTCTTTAACTACAGGATGGAAGGTCCAGCGTTCTAAACTCCCTTGAGTTTCATGAAATACGCACTGCTGATGATTTCCAACAAGGATTAGACAGTCGTACAGTGCTCCTCAGCTTTTCAGCATGGGTTGATTTCCGTTAAAGGACGAAATCCCCAAATCCCCTCACACAATCGAAAATAAATAAATGCGTTTTGTGCTTTGTGAGGTCAGGTTATTTGACTTTCATGGTGTAGAATTCTCCCAGAGAGTAACATGTATCTGCAGCTGATTCGTTTGTAGAATGTGCAAAAGGACTTTGCAACTGCTACAAAAAGAATAAATCTGAGTAAGTTTACTGAACACATCAGTACCATTCGCTCTACTCATGGCCGTCAACATAATCGACGGTCACCAGCCGAGGGCTTATTGGATCTGCGCAGCAAAAACAGAACGAACCGACCAGATAGAAGCAACCACACGGACATTTCCAGTCGTAATTTATGCCCACCACTGTGTTTTTCATACATACCAGAGAGTACTGACTACGAGAGAAAGTCATTGAGTCTGTTTACAGACTGTCTGATGAGTCACCATTCAAGCGGAATGACGTAAAAAAAGAATGCTCTCACAATGCACAACCACATCCACACCTCCCGATCGATAAACTATGATACTGTGTTGCGATTTTTGCGACCTTCATCTCATAAGAGTGACGGCGACCGACATTTCGCGGCCCCAATACATGTAAACAAGCCTGTAATTTAATATCCGTGCATGTGAAACAACCCTGCTAGGACTATTGTGATGAGATCTGACCACACGTCGTGCGGCATGTACTATCTGAATCTGTAACTCAGAATAAATGAAACCAATTGGGACCATACTGACGCAATAAGCTCATGGTTGTGCCGTTTCCTCTGCATTTTATACGACAAATTAAAGACTATTTTTTACACTTTGTCATGTCAGGTTTGAGGTAATTCAGCACGTTCAGGAAACTAAGAGAAGGTAGCATAGAATGATTAATGACGTGACACTAATCTCCTGATTAGGTGGGCTTGAACTATTCTGATTCCTTTAACTGTCCATATGAAACCACAGGGATCTACGCTGGAGTGTAGTGGGTATACTTTACAAGACAAATTTCACAGACCTGCCTCTTAGAACATTCTGGAAAATAATCTTCAATGACTGAACATCACAGCACTCAGTATTCTAGGCCTTATCACTCCATTTTATGGGAACGCAACAGACAGGCAATGACTAGCAATAAGTGTGTCGTGAGGCCATTGGGCTCAGGGCTTCCGAAGTTAGTATCGCAGCTTAAGAACCGTCCTGATGTCTCCATGTGCAAGACTTTCCACTGTCCAAATTCCAATGTCGCTAGCTACATTCATTTGCAAAGCTTCAACCAATAGGACAACAGCTGGTTGTTGTAGGACTATTTTTCGCAAACCGGTGTCAATCCTATATAACGGAGTATGCACTATAGGATTCCGTCCGCAACAGTGAATCAAACTAAGAAGAGTAGTCATGAATAGTCTCTTGAAAGTGTGCAATGGTCCGTCCGAATATCGATTTCAACCGCAAGTAATCACATGACTGTCCTGGCACGTTCGCTGAGTCTGAACAATCGCATTTTACCGTTTGTTGTCGAATCGACGACGTACCCGGTGCTGGTTGTCCTCATCAAATGCGATCCGTCCGTTCACTATTTCACATATCATGACTGATACTTGTCTGTCGTTCAAACACAACAAAATTGCTGTGTTTTCATCCATATATGAACCTGTCCTTTGTGAATCTCCAGGTTCATAAGCGGCAGCTGTCAGCTCTGTAAGAAACAACCGTGACACAGAATTTTAGGGGCTGTTGCATTTCTTGATGCCTCCTTGCTCAGGCTCATGTAATTTGGTTAACCTCTTTAAACAACATAGACACTGATGAGCTGGAAGAAGACATTGCAAGAGAAAGAGAGAGTTCTCGCTTTGAGAATGCACACACTTATGAATAGAAGGTAATAATAATGTTATCGAGCTCACCTGAGCTCGACCCACCGCCAAGTAAATCGACACCACCCTGGTCTTGTGATTCACCTGAAATCATCGGTGGAGATCACACGCACCAAATGTTTATGTATCATGCAGAAGTTGGGTTGCTCATGTATGGAGCAAGTAATCTCAACATCTATGATGAAATTGAGCCCGTCCCGTAAGTGGCTTAGATGTGACCCTAAGCTCATGCTATGCACGTGCAATTTGCATTTATAGTTTGTGTGTACTTTCGCAGGGGAAAACAAAAGCAAATCAGTGCAACCACGTCGATGGTGCGTATATCGTTTGCTTGCATTTCAACCCACACTGGTATATGGGCACATCCACATTGATTAATCGACTGTTCTCTTATCGGTAATCACAGTACTGATCCAAGCGCCTTATCAAGTAACTCATTCAATTTTTTGATTTTCTCTTTGGTCAGAGTGCCTTTTTTCTTGTCATCCGCTTTACTTCGAGGCATTAAAGATTGGTCGGAAGCAATCGGATCTTCTCCATCCCCTTCCCCATGAAAACATCAAATTACAACAGACAACGAAAGTATTCGTGGTCGGTTCCATCACATACAGCTTTGACAATCTATCTGTCTGTGTTTAGGACTTTCTCGCAGTTTGATTCGTCATAACTGATCGACTTACGTAGTAAGATAATTTTATCCCAGCGTTATAGAGTTCTCTCAGCCAATTTGTCAACATGATAAGCTGGTAAAGAGGGCTTCAGCATACTTTTCGAAACCCAAAGGTAACCAGAAAGCTGCTTTGAATGAGGTCACGCAACAAACGAGATTCTGAAGTGTTGGTAAAATGCATACGCACTTGGGACCAAACTGACATCTGGCACTGATTGGTGATTCTCCGGGTCCGAACACTTTTGTATATCACGGAAACTAATGTGGTTTATCGGTAAATGAATTTGTAATTTATCCTTTAGGTGGAAGGCGGCGCCGTCGTCTCCTTAAAGATCACTCAAAGTCAACGTCAAATTGAAGACCTGACTTCTTTAGCAACATTAAATGGTATGGGCTATACTCGCACAAAACAACGGAACCCAAAGCAGAACATAAGACAACTTACCCAGATAGTTTCAAGAAATTGTAATGGCAATTTTGCTTACCTGGATAGGCGCCACTCGTTTAAAAGTGTCAGCATCGCCGCCACAGCTATCGTATCTGTTGAGTTATTGATAGCCATATAGCTTTCCAGTTCTTCCGTCAGCATCTTCAAATCTAATTGACCTTGACAAGGAAAACCAAGTTTCTGAAACGAGAGAAATGTACTATATTCCAGTTGTCACCCAGAGTGAGTAAAGTTGGATTGATTTGGGTAGTATCATGAATTCATCGTGATCGGACCCTGAAATGACTCTGCAGCTCACCTTTAATACTGTTTCTGGATCCGGAATTCCTAGTTTTGTCCAGTAGCCCGTCACTTTTTGTGCATCAACAAACCTTCAGTGTACGTCAAAGAGGAGAGAGAGTTTAAGAATATGATCAAATTTTTTTAATAAAATCAACGCTTTCGTCCTACTTAACAGAAGTACGGTTAAAGAACGTTTCGTGCAGACATCTTCATACAAACCAAATCGCCTAAATCTCCTTGGAATGAATCGCTCACCATATTGTGGGAGTTGGCGAAATGTTATGCATACTAACAAGAGATTGTTTAGGGGCAGTATCTCCTTGAGTAGCTCTCCCTTGAGGGAATATGAATGTACGGAGAACTTGAGCGCATCGGACTGGTGCAGTGATATTAGCAAGGGCGGGAATGATTACTTTTTAGTAGTCATGGAATTAATTGAAGCCACGTCTATGCAGCTTGCTTGTGTAGTTCGTGCCTCGTCCTGAGGTGGTCATTTGGTTTGGTCAACAACGGAGTAGCGCTGAATTCTAGTTTCACTCCTATTAAAAACAATCGGAATCGCAGGATGTTTGGCGTCGATTAGACCTCCTAGGTATTACAGAGTGAAAATGCTTGCCTGTTCATGCGTAATAAACCTGCTGGGGTAGTAGTCATTTGTTCTTGTTGAACGTCTAGTGTCCGGATTCCAGACCCTGACATGGTCAAGAAATTGTGCTGTCGATAAAAACCCAACGTGAACAACAGCCGAATCCCACATCCTCTAATTTGGTGTGAAACAAACAAATAATCATGTTAGATCAGGAGACTGTGGGCACAAGGGAACTAAACATTTATTGTAGGACTAGGATCGGTCAAATTACCTGATGGATCGCTCCACCAGTGCCCAAAAGTTGCCTTGTTAAGCGTAACGAATTTGCACCACGTCTACTCAAGAAGTGAACTCGACACTGTTGCTGGTGCTGTACGTCGCCAGAATGCTTGGAAATGCTTACGCGTCTTTATGGTATCAGATGAAGTGTACAAAATGCGTCCAGTTGCAGCAAATTTGCCAAGCAGCAGCTCATTCATCTGAATCATTCGTCTATTCGCAAATGAACGTGAAAAATATTTGCCTGTTAGCAACACTGTGTGCCATTCATAGTGGACAGATTGTCACCTCTGAGCGCTATGATGGGCCATCTGCAGACCTTTGGAAAATATCTTAGAGAAAATCGTATCTTTATTGTCAATGATCCGTACGGTCCGGGAATACTGACCGCTTCAGGGTAAGTGGCCGTTCAGCTGATTCCACAAAAGGAGAAACTTTCGGGCGAAGCATCAAGCGGTAGACATCAACGTCAAAAGTGGGTGAAAAATTGATAACTTAACAGCGAGGTTCATATTGGGTGTGAGTAATTTTAAAGTAAAGACCAGTCATGAACTTGAGAAAACTTTGTTAGCCGAGACTTAGTAAAACAGCCCATACGGATGGTCACATCCGGAGTGCCCATACAACTGGGTAGACATGTTCAGTTAATGGGGTGTGATGTCTCAACAATCAAAGAGCATTCATACAATACATTAATGTGTACCATTGATTGACAAGCCTCCTGCGGAGACACTGATCTCAAGCTGGAAGCGACTCACTTTTCCTGGATAAAAAGTCCCGTGCAGTAAGTAAACTTAACCTTACCCTGTGTTCTGCGGGTCCAGATATCTAAACCCTCCAATAGCTTCTTTTGGCGATGTTGTTTCTGGGGCCTTTTGGGTTGCGACTGGTGACGTCTCTCCATTGGTCGATTCGTTAAGTTGTGTATGGTCACCACAGGGTGCTATCAAAACGAGTTTCGGAACACGCAACGTATCTACGGTAGCCTCCGATTGTTTAACTTTTGGAGATGACGAGGCCGAAGGGCTCATTGCAGTGGAGCTTGGGGATGTAGGCTTGTTTATCTGAAAAGGAAAGCGAATGTGTAAGCTGGTCAGAGTGAAGGGCATTTCGCTGTAGCGTTTGTCTGAGTGGCGAAGAGATGTGCTTTCAAATTAAGTATAAGTAAGAGGCTGTAAAGTCTTCTCCGACCTTGTAGTGTAGATTGCTATAGTTTTGCTCGCTTACGAAGCAGTCCAAACTGTCCTGAACAAGACCCATTTCACTACATAGTCTTCTGGAACTGTGTCCAGGAATTACTCCATGGAGTTATTAACTTAAAAATTAGTTACTATGCCTAAATCGAAGTATGGACTTGTCGTTTTCGGTAGAGGGGCGGGAAGTCCGATAAAGGGCCTTTTTATATACTTCTTACGTCTAGTCTCATTCAGGTTTTTCGGCCTAATTGTTGCACTAACTTTAATCGGATTACAGTTTGTTCATGTATTTAAGTTAACGATATTGGCCTGAAAGGTTCAAATGTTTTCACGAATCGACTGCGAGCTATCAGAATATTGGAGGACGTTCTTTCCGTACATTCGATAACAACGTGCCAAAGTCGAAGGTCCCTTCAGCACAACCTCTGCTTGATGGTAAAGGGGCGGGATGGCCCAGTGGCTAAGGTGCGAGCTTAATGAATGTAAGGTCCATGGGTCGTACCCGACCTCTGACTCTCGACTTCCCTGTCTAAGCTTAGGCAACCTGGCAGTATCCAAGGCCTCGTGCTACCTTAGAGTGGCATGGCAGTTAAGCACCGAAAGGGCATTACAGCTGAACGATTATTAGTTACAACCCAACTAAGCCATAAAGTTCACTAAACACTACAATGCTAGAGAGAAAGATATAATTTCGAAGCCCAGCTGAATCTTGTTGATCTGTTAGGCAATTCTTGACTGTAAAAAACCAACGCAATAAAATAAACTGTATTCAGTAGGCGATCATATTACCATATTCTGCTTTCTGACTTAAGAAAACCTACCTGAGGAAACTATTTACATAAAGGAATTCATCGGATCCATGCAGTTAGAACTTCACAAGACGCATTTGCTTTTGAGCGGAACACAGTTTGGCTGTTTGCAACCTGATTATTGCTAGGTTCGCTTGCAACTTTTAACAAACATTGTGACACAACGTAAGCGAGTTCTCAATTAATGTCTGGATTCATATCAAGCTTTCAGATACATTACGTTAGCCAGTTTCGTGTATTGGTCACGAAACCAAGCGTTCCCAACGTGCGTTGATAAACTCTAATGCTTTCATCATACTGTTCATAGTTTTCGGAATCACCTGTTCTTCCTAATTGCTATTCTTGTGGCACTTTAAGTGGTCCAGGCTCACGATGGTTGATTGATCGCTGGAGAACGTTCGGTGCATAGACTTGTTTTCAGGGTTCACATCATGGCATGACTGGTAGTACGGCGAATCTACCAGTCAAGAAGTTGTCGACCGACGGCCACGAAATCCTCGTGTTCGGTACGTCTACCCAATGTTAATTAGACCCTTCTGGAGCGATTCTGCTCTGATTCCCAGGTGGCCTGATGACATTGTATAAAGATAATTGGTGGAACGAGAAGCGGGATATCGACTACTTGTTTTGACACAACTTCAAACCTATTGGGTGTTGCAGCTCACCCACGTATATTTGACTTCCCGGAGTCCTCTAAAACCCCCGTTCTATCGAATAACTTGAGTCAAGTGCGGCTTGAGATATGGACATGAGATTCTGAACGCACAACCTGGGCAAATGCCTTCTTCCACCTGATTACCTTATCAAATACCGATTTCCCTGTTACTTTTCCGAAAAACTTTTTAGACGAGGAGGGCTAAATGTGTGCAGGTAGCATTACAGTCAGTCTCTTATTTGGGGATTATTGTGGTGACTGAAGTGAGCCAACTCCGTTTTGTATTCCCCAAATACCACTGCATTATAGTGTAAAGACGCATAGTTATGGTGTCATCCTGGTGAATTCATCCATTCAATCATCCATCTGCTCATATCCACCAATCATAGTAATCACATGAATGTGCATGTGATATTTTTTTATGTTTCAGAAATTTCAGTTTTTTGAGACATCATTCCAATCCGCACTGCCGATGCCACCTCGATCGGTAATGAAGCGCTTACAATCCAGCTGCCAAGCCAGAAAACAGACCAACAACCAAACGGTCCATCCGAGCTACCTATATTCTGAAGCATTGTTAGAGCTGCTCTATTTACTACTCTCTTGAATCCGGTGTAAATCGACCCAGCGATATTATAAAGACAACATCCATTTCTGATATCCTACAACTGACTGTACACAGTTTAGCTTTGCTGAATTTCTGATTAAAAAACAATTTTCCTGTCTGTGACCCGCCAATTACATCCACACGTTCAGTAAACTGTTCAAGTCGGACAGGTGGACCACTTTCATAGGGACTTTCTGGGAATTCGAGAAGCGTGGCTGCAAGGCAATCTGAGGTACAGGCGTAACATGCTAGTTATAAGATTGATAAAAACTCCTCAAAAGCACACAGCCGTTTTCACATCTTATGGAGTTCATCAGTTAGTCGCAGTCTCCCAATTTCCGTTAACCTTCTGTTTACTTGAACTTAAATTGGACGGAATTCGCCAATGTGCAAACTCATTTGATTTTGACGAGAAACTCTACTGACACCCAGCTGAATCTCTCGTTTATGATGGTCGGCTTCAGGTGAACGTGCTGCATATATACTACCTCATGTTCCAGTCGGTACGATATTCAGTATATCGCAATACATTTTGCAGTGAACTGAGCGTTGTGATATCTCGAATACTCTACCCACTGAAACACGAAGCCGCTTTGTGCAGCACAGTCAGTTGAATCATTAGCGAGGGATTTAGCTGGGTTCACTATCAAAGACAAATAAGTGTGAATGTTAGACTATTTGGATAATCCGGAGCCAATAATTCGAGGCGATTCACCGGGTTATAGCAAACTAATCGTTCAAAATTATCTATCGAAGGTGATTCGGCAAATGTTTTTACATACGGAGGAGAAAATCACGGTCAGACTGATCTAACCACTTGCTGTCTAATTTGTCCGTTAATCAGTCACAAAAGGCCACTGATACCATATGGTATTGGTACCTTGTTCTTACATTAAGTCTTCTTGTCTATGCATCACTTGGTTCACAACTATCAAGTCAGTTAAAAGACAAAAAAATAAATTTGTCGATTCGTTTCCCGGTATACACTTGCTCAATAGCAGAAGGCAAGTGTTGTGCGCGACAGAGGTCGCTGGGTTGTGGATAGTCGCATTACATCTATCTTTAAGAAACTGAAGTTATTTTACGCGCACGTCCAGAGAAGGCAAAAACCCGTGTTTGTGTGGCTCACCACACGAGGTAAATGGTCAACTCCAGGTGTGCTAGCGGGATGTGACCCATTGGATTGGCCATCGCGGAAATCGATATGTTCCACCGGAAGCGCCTCCGTCCTTGGACTCTGGATCTGACCTTCAATTGACTTTTGAACTGTTGATATTTGGACCTCTTTTGCCGGTTCATCTATGTAGGAAAGAAAGTTAACACCAAAAAATAAATGCTGGTATACCGCTTGACGCATTTTCAAACTAAGCGACTGACTTGGAAATTTGGTTGCTTTTTTCGGTCGGATCAACACGATTTATTTATGAAACGGCAAATAGGTTAATGATAACTCGACAAGTTGAGCAGAGAAGGGACTAGTTGCATGATGAAGGCAAACGCATGGTTAACTAGTTTGGGCTCTTAATCTGATAGAGAGAGGGGTACTGACATGATTTTATGCTTTTTTACCTTTATTAAGTTTATAACAAGGTAATGACTTCGAGAAATACACTCATTTGCAAATCATTTGGTTTTCACGAGAGACTCAACTGAATCTCTCGTTTATGATAGTCGAAAACTGAACGTACTTAACACAGGCCGCCCCATGTTTCAGTTGGCACGATATTCGAGATGTCGCAGTATATTTTCATAAAGGAAACTACTCACAAGTTTGCTGAAAACTCTTTGACAGCCCTCGACCGGTTTCACCCTTCTCGGAACTCATCAGGTGGGCGCAATCCCCGAGTTTCCGTCAACCTTATGATCTACTTAAACCCAAAGTGCTTTGCAAATGAATGAATTTCTCAAAAAAATAAAGATATTTGCGTTCAAGTAGACCATAAGGTTGACAGAAACTCGGGGAATGTGTCTACCTGATGAGCCCCAAGAAGGGCGAAACCGGTCGTGGGCTATCGAAGAATTTTCAGCAACCCTGCGAGTAGTTTCCTTTATGAAAAGTAATCACTTGCTCTCGAAGGTTATTTGTGATGGCCCTCATTTGCTGTGTTCCTTTCCTGAGCTGAAAGTTTTGTCTGTTCAGCCGTTTGCTTCGGATAGTGAGCACCGAATTTCACGTTCTCTGGTGTGTTGAAAAGAGGCTGTAGTTGTAGACAGCTTAGTTGGAGCAACAACCGAGGTAGACCAAACTCCTGTTGTGATAGGATAGATCAGTTTACGAACCGCACCCAATTTTCACCCAGAATGGGCGGTCAATGAATGCTCCTGAAGTACATTTGCAAGTTTATGACTTCAACTGTGGAGAAGCCGGATATGTATGTAACTGACGTCTGCTTTTCATTGCTCTGTGCACCCAACTACTTGCGCAACATTATGCCCTTCCCGAATTTATTTACAAACACACGGAGGCAATGAGCCTATGGCAAGCCGATAGGTAGAACGGTAAAGATTATAGCCGAAAAAGACAACTTTTTTCAATGGTATCCAGACTGAACTCCTCCTGGTGAAATAAGGATAATTGCAGTTGGGAAAATCGCGTTCCAGTCGCTTTGGGACAGCACAGGGGTTAAAAATAATATCTACTCCAACACCATTTAGTGGCGTTACTACTTCGTATTGGGTACCAAGCGGACAGTTGCATTTAGTCGCTATCCTGTTTGTGCGGAAATTCGAAGCTTGCTGACGCAAGTAGCAGAAAACAAACTCTACAGCAAAAGAAGATGTACTGTAGACATTTTGGATACAATGCTTCATAAACAGATATCCAACGCCAGATGGTCGGTGGCCACCTTTGGAAACATTCTAGATGTCGTCTTTTTAAATGGTTAACTAGCTCGCAGGAGGTGAGAAACTGTGACACTAGCCAGACGAATTTCTAATAAAGTTGCGGGTGAGCTTTGTGGACCATTTCATATCAGCCACACATCAGGTTCCTTCTACTCGCAGGAGGTGAGAAAATGTGACACTAGCCAGACGAATTTCCAATAAAGTTGCGGGTGAACTTTGTGGACCACTTCATATCAGCCACACATCAGGTTCCTTCTGAAAAATTTCAAGCAAAAGCGAAAAACACACAAGGTCTGTTTTGGTGCACTTTGTCGCTGTTACGACTAGAAATTCTATTAAGGTTTGCGGGTTGAGCTGGAACTCTGGATATATTCCACGTGGGAGAAGCATTAGCTGGTGTAGCAGTCGAGTCAAGAAATCATGCTCTCCGGAATAAGGTAAAAATGGAGTTGGAATGTATTCATTCGGTGTCATCAAGTTATGTCTACAACCGTGCCGAAAACTTTTCAGCATTTTTCGTCCGCAAGCTTTCCATGGAATAAATCAGAATTAATACAGAAAGTACGGAGAGTGAAGAAATCCCAGACTTTGCCCGGAAAAAACTGTCGTTGGTTCTTCAACTGGGTTTTCTTGATTTCCCCCTAATCGACCACGAACAGACATTGGGTTCATTCACGCACACCTGTGTTCAAAGGTTCTAGACATTCTGGAGATAGAGAAAAATTGAACGCATTGGGGAATAATTACGTTGTTTTTAACACAAATTTTTCCAGACGTAATCTACAAAGTAGATATCCAGAGTGCTCACAACTAATGACAGTTTTTTTTGAACCCGTGGGTCTACGGGCACGCCACTACTTACTAATACACTCACAATGGCTGCAACAGTCCTAGTTAAACCCATAACGCTTTATTTTTATGGTCAGAAAAACTCACTGCTGATGCTGTCGATCCCAAAAGCCTCCCTACAACTTAAAGAGGCATTTATAGCGGCGATTATTGTCTTGCTACATGGGAATTTTCATATTTATTCAGTATGACAGGTCAACAGCTCACTTCAGTTGCCGTAGTGATAGTAGCGGTACAGCGACGGCATAGTGACAAATGAGCAGTTTGTCTCGGCATGCCCGGAAAAGAAAGGCTATATAATTTTCTGACCTCAGTTCCAGATGTTGCTGCGCCTGTCCAGAACATTCAGAAAAAACGCATCTTATTGTCGTTGGGTGCGACAGAACGGTAGGATAGCGGTCAACGATTTCATCTTGACAGTCTTCATTCCTACAACCATACAGGTCACATTAAGCCGTCCTGACAGAGTTACCTTGGTCTATCGAGGTACTCGTTGTAGTGACTCTGGGGAAACGATCAAGAAAGACTTTCGGTTCGCTCACTGGAACTCTCATTTTATTGAATAACGGCAATGGACGCCGTTCCGAATCTCACGTGGGCTGTTCGAATTCGCTTGATCGTGACTGGTTTGACTGTTTGACCGGGTGATTTTTTAGTAGCTTGTGTCAAACAACCGTTTTTTTGTTTCGTCTTGCCCCGGTTGATTATCTGCATCGCTGACTAAACCAAATGAAGCCTGTTGACTTAATGGTCGTCATTTGTGCAATGTGAAATATTGCGATGATTGGTTTATAGACTTTGAACCGGATTTGGGTAGCCATTCGCTAATCTTGTTGGTTTCGTACCTGTGGCAGTTTGTGTACCACCTCCTACCCGTGCACCGGTTTTGACGAATGTTCAGTGTGTATGGTCCACGGTTGATTGTTGGACAAACTCGCATTGCCCCACCCGATGCATACTTTAGTTAAACGTGTCTGTAACTGATTAAGTTGGGGTGTCTTTTCCTCAGATCAATACTGGGGAATACTCGTGAAATATTCGATTGAGCCCTATTTGTAGGCAGTCTAGCGGCGCTCGGGATTCGCACAATCGAATTGAATTTTCGAAAGTTATGACGTGTCCCTGATGGACTAGGGCAATCGGGCTATTGAGTTGAGAGTACCAGTCCAAACTTGTAAGCCCCTTTAGGCATCCCGGGGTCTCAGCGATGCTGGGAAATTATCCCACAGGACTTTTCAGCCAGAGGCATGGTTGATTCAGTGAACAATGAAATTTGGTGAGCTGCAAGAAATATGAACGTGGATTAGGACGGTTTTTGGTTTGAGCACATACAGAATGCAACGTTTTGGCGTAACAAGTTTTACTCCACCTGTAAAGGTTTTGCAGCTGAGAGCATTGTGCGGATAATGGTCACTCACTCTAGCGGGTGTTGAAGGTCACTAATTGTCTGTGGGGAAAAATATGCGGCTTTTGTGACTGGAAAGATGGTGACGGAATTTGGTTGCGGGTGACCAACCTTGGTAATCGGCTGTTTAGAATGAGAATGAGAGGCGCGCCTACACTCGGAGTGATAACGGAGGGCACCTACAATGCGTTGAAATATTTTCGGACATGGGAAAAGAGTGTTCGAAATTGCCTGATGACACGATGCATTGAACGTGTGCATGAAAAGTTTCTATTTTTATTAGTGAAAATACCTTCAAGTGAATCTGCAGAGGACTACGTTTGTTACATTAGGAAATACAAAGTTTGTTTGGAAGTTTGATGGTTTACCCAAGAACGTTGCTTGTTAAACCATATTTACAAGTTCTACTATGTACGCAGAAGTTTACTCTCCGTAGTCATATTGTTAAATAATAACTGATAAGGTCTTCCCTGAAGCAGAGGAGACATCAATCAACTTCCAAGAAACATGCGTTTCTAGTGAAAGCAAGCAGCACATTCCATATTTTTCAGCTACCGAAATTGAATTCAACTGCTTTCATCAATTTAATAAAAGAATTCGGTTTTGGCGGTTGCATTGCACATGAAAGGTAAGTTGACTTGGCGATCCCATTACCTACATACGCAGTTACATCATCCATCCCATACTCCTTGGCTAAACGGAATTTAGTCACTGATCAGGCGAGGGAAACAGAACTCAAGATGAAGCCGGGATCAACAGTCATCAGACTAGGAAGCAGCAGGGGTTCGGAAGATGGCTTTGGTTTGGAAACTGACTTGCAAACGTCTCATCATCATTCGAGGAGATGCCATCAATTAACCTTTTATTTGGATTATTTCAACCCATGGTACTAGTAGTTGTCACCGCTCATTTGTATGATTTCAACCCATGGTACTAGTAGTTGTACAGCATATTTCGCATGTGTTTGACCAGTGGTGAAATCTGTCCCCTGGTCTGTTCTATACCTTCGCTGACTTGTCTGATTTTGTGTTAGTTGTCTGTCTCATTTTTTTGCACCTATCACCCCCTCCGGTACCTGTGGTGCCCATCCGAAATTATACTTACGTTTATCACAGTTGCTTGAGCTCCCGAAAAGCGATTCGGTTAGACTTGATGGGATACTTCAATGTAGGTGCTCTCAACTCCTCTAAGACATGTCCCAGGCGACCGAGCCGTTTTGCTAATTCCGTTGCAACCTGTTTATGACGCGTATGCACATC